CTGTAACATGGGCACGATGTAACACAGGAAGCTACCGAAGATCCAATTCTGTATGAGTAAGATGGCCAGTGACAGCGGTAGCAGCAACACGCTCATGATGAAGTTACACACGCCAATATTCATCATGTAGGCGTTGGTAGGATCCCGGTAAAGACGTCGACGGAGGATGTGGGCGATCATAACTGCATTACCGATAGATCCCAACACCACCAAGGCGGAGTAGAGGATGAGGAAGAGAGGGAAGACGTGCTGGAGAGAACGCCGGAGGTGTGGTTTGCTGAAGTCCACCGTCTCGTTAGGGAAGGACCGGAGGTTGTGGATAATCTGTCCCAGTAATTTATCCGGTAAATCCCTCACGTCCGGTTGTTCCACAGACATCTTGGGCCTAACTGGTACTCGTGTCTTTGTTTTGTATATATTTGTGTTTGTTTTTTATCCGGTTTTTCTTGTTTTCTCGTTGTTTTTCTCGAGTTTTTACACTTAGTCTTCTTTTCTATCCGTTTATTGTATTATTTTTTTTTTACACCTTTATATTAATATTCTATACTATATCAGGTTATTGCTCAGGTGTTCAAAGTTGTATTTTTTTCATCTCACTAAACACAACTATGCACTTCACACATCATTGTATATTTTTGTATTTATTTGAATATCCTTAATCCACGTTAATCCACCTTAATCCACGTTAATCCACCTTAATCCACGTTAATCCACCTTAATCCAAGCTCCTTAAATTATTCTGAACTATTGTCTCTCCCCTTTATTACGACTAAGACACACACACAAACACAAACACGAATCTCAATTTACATCCACAGTGAATGTCCAGTATTAACCCACGCATAAATCAACACTGCCTTCAGCAACTTTCTCAATAACTGTTATCTCTAGCTTTAAAACACACATTGAAGTTTCTCTTACAACAAATCAACACTCACATGGGATGATATATATCTCTCTCTCTCTTTCTCTCTCACTTTCTCTCACTGTCTCTCTCTATCCTGGGTATTATTGGTAAAGTCTGCAGGAAAGTTGAGGCTGGATCTCTTTTTGTTATCACGAGTTTCTCATCAAAATCCAAGTTTACATATGAAGCAGACTACCATTGTCTTAACTACCATCCACTACCATCCACTACCATCATTTAATGTCATGTTTCATCCCATTAAAGTTTTTTATTTACTTATTATATTTTTTGCAGATGGTAATTATTTTCACTTTTTTCGACAATTATATAGGTGGTAATTTTCACTTTATTTTCACCTTTATTGACATCTCTGTAGTTATTATTATTTTTCTAAGTCAAGGAGGGAGGGAGGGAGGGTTAGAGTCAAGGAGGGCAGGAGGGGAGTTAGTGTCAAGGAAGGAGGGAGGGAGGGAGGGGATTGTTTGCGTCAAGGAAGGAGGGAGGGATGTTTGCGTCAAGGAAGGAGGGAGGATTGTTTGTCAAGGAAGGAGGGAGGTTGTTTGCGTCAAGGAAGGAGGGATTGTTTGCGTCAAGGAAGGAGGGAGGGATTGTTTGCGTCAAGGAAGGAGGGAGGGGATTGTTTGCGTCAAGGAAGGAGGGAGGGGATTGTTTGCGTCAAGGAAGGAGGGAGGGGATTGCGTCAAGGAAGGATTTGTTTGCGTCAAGGAAGGAGGGAGGGGATTGTTTGCGTCAAGGAAGGAGGGAGGGGATTGTTTGCGTCAAGGAAGGAGGGAGGGGATTGTTTGCGTCAAGGAAGGAGGGAGGGGATTGTTTGCGTCAAGGAAGGGGGTTAGCGTCAAGCAGTTCTCAATAGCCTTGTTTATTTTTCTTATTTGTTATTGTTTGTTGTTTCTCTTTGTCTTTATTAACTTCTGTTTTCTCTTACCTTCCCTGTTTTTGTTATTGTTATTCTTTATTTATATCAATTTTGTGTAATGACGATTTTTCACATTATCTCTATTCTTCTGTGTTTTCTTCCATATAACTTCCTATGTTTTTTATCACATTTCACTATGAGGCCCTTTCACTATTTCCTCTTTCTTTTCTATATCGTTTAACATCCTTTTATTATCACTATTTCATTTCCTCATTCTCTTCGTCGCATAAAAAAACTTTCTCTTCGAACTGATTGTCTATTTCAATCTAAAATACGAACCATTGCATTCAGGAACTTTATTAAACACTAACTCTTTTTCTTTATATACCTGGGAAAGTTCATTATTTTCTAACATACTGTAGTTTCTCTCTATGTATTTATGAGCAGTAACTTAAAGACGAATTTATATCAGAATTAATGTCTATGTTGTTTTATATCACATTATTATATATTTTTATTTGGGGGGATTACTGGTATTTGTTTTTCCTGTTTCCTGGGATTTTTTTTTTGTATAATTTGGGTATTTTTTCCCCTACTGTTGATATCTTTTACTCAATGGGTGTGAGTGAGGTGAATAATGAATTCCTTTAGGCTCGTATCTTGTGACTGACTGGATCTCAACCTGGAATTATAGAGAAGAATTTGTTATAGGTATTTTAGAAACGTAAGTGAAGACAATAATATATACTCATATAATTCTCTCTCTCTCTCTCTCTCTCTCTCTCTCTGAATAACGAACACCAAATCGCACTCAAGGAGACACAAACAGCCTGGCTTTAGCTTTCCCGCCAAAATGGGAAACTGACGTAAAACATTCCTCAAGATGAAAATATTTTGCCACAAAGAACTATATAATGACAACAACAACAGCAACAACAACAACAACAACAACAATAATAATAATAATAAAATAATAATAATAAATTTCCCCTTTATAATCAAAACAATAAAAAAAAAAATTACCAGGAAAATCAAGAAAATATGTTGGCGTGAACCACCCCAGAGGAAGGTCAACTGGCTGACAAGAACCAAATGACGGCGACCTCTAAGTACTCGGTGCCTCTGGAAACCAATTGTCTTAGGAGGGTCTTACAACTCGTTATACCTCCTCTTCTTCCTTATCTTCCTCCTCCTCTTTATCTTCCTCCTCTTCCTATTTATCTTTCTCCTCTTCCTCCATATCTTCCTCTTCCTCACCTTCCTCCTCCTCCACCTATTACCTCATATACTAATCCTTCTTCTCCTGTGCGTGTCTGCGTGCGTGTGTGTGTGTGCGTGCGTGTGTGTGTGTGCGTGCGTGTGCAAGTATAGGAATAATCAATATATATATATTCTCCTTCCTGTCCTTCCTCTCCTCCCCATTCACCTCTCCCTCTTTCTATCCCACTTTTTCATCTCATTGAATCACTTCCCACTCCATTCCCACTCACCACCTCTCTCTGCAGATACGTTAAGCTCTCCCTTCCCTCTCTCCTCTCCCAGCGACACTTATGCCCTCTCCCCTCCTTACCATTCCCTAATCCCACTCATGCCTCTCCCCTCTCACTCCTTAACCCCACTCATCCCTCTCTCCCTTCCTCCCCACTCTTCCATCTATTTTCCCGGATTTATAGATGATGTCATGTGTCTCACGATTTGTCGACTAAACCTTTGTGGTGGTGAGAGAGAGAGAGAGAGAGAGAGAGAGAGAGAGAGAGAGAGAGAGAGACAGACCATTACACCATTATTACACTATCATTACACCATCATTACACCACCATTACACCACCATTCCACCATCATTACACTATCATTACACCACCATTACACCATCATTACACTACCATTACACCACCATTACACCATCATTACACTACCATTACACTACCATTACACCATCATTACACTACCATTACACCACCATTACACCATCATTACACTACCATTACACCATCATTACACCATCATTACGGCTCCATTACACCTCTATTACGCCCCCTGCAGTGGTATTATCTTCAGCAAGCTCGACACACGTGATTGGATTACACGTGAGATTGAGCAAAGGTTGCCATCCAGGTGCGCGAAGGTGTTAATGATACCTACCTGGGTGTACCTGTGACGATATGGTATTGCTGTGACTCTTACACTGCTTTCTTTCTGGCGAGAATTGCTTTTCTTTCACTGCTTTCAACCTTACGCTATTTTTGCTTTACCCTTCTATCATTGCTTTCTGGTGATATTTACTCTGATTTCATTGCTTTCTTTCTGGCTATAATTGCTTTTCTTTCAATGCTTTCATTCTTACTTCCCTCTCATTCACTACTTCCTTACGATACTTCCCCTTTCTTTCACTGCTTTCATTCTTACTTCCCTCTCATTCACTACTTCCTTACGATACTTCCCCTTTCTTTCACTGCTTTCATTCTTCCCGATACATTCTTTCCCTTCAACACATTTTCCTTCTTTTGGGTCGTATTTTCCCTTGTTTAACTAGTGTTTGTTATGGGTTTGAATCTTATGTTAAAACCCAGTGTAGGTACAGGTGTAGGTAGGTAGCCCACACTTGAGACTGTCACTATGGATGGTAAGGTCACTGTTGCGATGGTGGCATAACCCGTCAGGTCAGATTAACCAGTCAACAGGTAATGTGTCCGAGGTCACTGGGCCTGAGTATAATATAGGCTTTTGTTGTTATATACCTGTGTACTATATATGGTACATCTAAACTTTACCTGTATATAAATATAAGTAGTGGAGGAGGTTATTATTTAGGGTGTCACAGAAAAATATCCTTGACTCCTTCAGCTTACAGTGTGGTTTAACTCAGCTTACAGTGTGGTTTAACTCAGCTTACAGTGTGGTTTAACTCAGCTTACAGTGTAGTTTAACTCAGCTTACAGTGTGGTTTAACTTTTCTAAGTTTAATGAGCCGAGAACACCCGGTCCTACAAGTCCCGTTGGAGTGGGAATGGGTAAAGTTAGTTTGGTCTGCCGCCTCATTCACTCATGATAAGTTAATAGATTCTGGGTTAGGTTAGGTTTGGTTTGGTTTGGTTTGGTTTGGTTTAGTTTAGTTTAATTTGGTTTGGTTAGGTTAGGTTTGGTTAGGTCAGATCTGGGTACGGTTAGTTAGCTAGCTATTATCTGTATTTTATCCTTGTATTGTACATTCACGGTAACGTCTCTCCTGGTAAAACACTGCCAGCACGAGGAATCAAGAGAGCTTGTATTCCCCCTTCATCCATCAGTGATAACCATTAAAATTTCACCAGACGAATATCTTCCTAACCTAACCTAACCTAACCTAACCTAACCTAACCTAACCTATTGATTTTCACCAGCAGTGTTTCTCTTTAATAATACGATCCACAAGTTCCTTTGGTAAACGTAAACACTATATGTCTTTTTTTTTACTTTTTTTTAATATCCGATTATTTTTTCTTCATTTATTTGAATTAATGTAGAATGACGTGTGTAGCTGCAGGTATATTAAAGTGACTTATTGACAACGAATGGTATGGATAACGAGGAAATTTATCACAATGTTATAGGATCCATCTTATATGATTCCCATTGAGTCTCTGATTTAATGACTGAACACAAATAATCCTCTGATAATAATTTATTTTAATCACATCCACTGAAAAAAAAAAATATCAGATTCGAAATTCCTGAAATGAGAGGCTGTGTTTGTTCCTTTACACCTGGGATATGATATTAGTGTGGCCTAGGTGATGAACAGTGAGAGGGAGTCGGAGTGGGAGTGGGGTGTGAGTGGGAGTGGAGTGTGAGTGGGAGTGGGGGGTCATCCACATTGTTGATATTGTAATGGGAAAACATAAACACGATATATTATGTAATGTGTAAGTGACCTAAAAAAATGATGAAAGATGAAAAAAAAATATCTGGCGCTCCTTAGTGTTGAGTAGTAGTAATAGTCGTAGTTGTGATAGTAGTAGTAACAATAATAGTAATAATAATAACAATAACAAACCAGTTACCTGTATTCTTAATATTTCCAATTAAAGGTAAAACGCGTTAAGGTAAGACGTGTTGAGAGCCCAGGTGTAGGTGATGGTCACGTTCAACACACAATAAGGATGATCTCTGTAATAGGTTTGTCGTGAGCCGTAAAGTGGAGTGATTTCCCCCACGTAAAGTAATGTGGCTCTGAAGGATGTGGCCACAGTTATAAGAGATATGACTTAGTTTGGGGATTTGGGGGTAGCATGTGGTTAGGATGGGATAAGATGTGGTCAGAATGGGGATTTGGGGCTGACCTAACCTAACCTAACCTAACCTGACCTAACCCAATCTTCTTGTGAGTGTGTAGTCCACTGTGTCAAGAGCATTATGGTGGCCACTCCCTCACCTGCCACTCCCCCAGGTGTTGAGCTAATTACTTGGTTTACCTTCTACTTGTAAAGGCTTAAAAATCATCAAAATGTAATTAATACAACGAGGAAATTATAGATAATTATACTGTAGATAAATAATACTTGAAGGAAATTATCTTGTAGGTGTGGTGGCCGAGTGGCAACATTACTCGTCTCCCGTCCTGAGGGTCTATGGTTCGCTAACTCAATCCATCTGTTTATCCTGAAAAAGCCTTCGTCCATAGTGAGGTTTATTCACCCTGTTCTTAAGATGCTTGGCTTATGGGGCTCTTGTTCATACTCTTTTGAACAATTTGTACAGTGTAGGTTGTTCAGCTGGTATATATCCACGTTGATAAAGCGTCTACCTGGTATTAATTAGTTACCTGTTTTAACTAATATTCACATTATCAAAATTAAAATAATACAAACAGAAAATAAGAGACAATCATATATAGAATTAATTTAGTTTTATACGTTATATATACAATTAAATATTTCAATTGATTTAATACACAACTAATTACGTTTTAATTAATACTATGCGATGTAAATTTACCTGTAATTTATTTTATACGGATTAATTTCACTCAATCATCTATAGAGAGTTAATTGTGCACATGAAATAACTAACACTAATATTGTCCATCATCCCATCAATTACAGTATTTATTGATTTGTTATTTACGTCAACGCATAAATTCTCTATAAACATTAAACCCTGATAATCTCTGCCATAACACAGGGGGAGTAAACCCGAGGTAATAAGGTGTTGGGAAACTTTAATATCTGCGTGAGATGGGTTATGATGCCGAGCCTGAGTTAGGCTGATAAAACTGAACACGAATATATTTTTAGGGATTTATTTAATGTATATACATTAGTATATATCACTGGTGAGAGAGAGAGAGAGAGAGAGAGAGAGAGAGAGAGTAATCGACTATGTACGAAAAACTACTTACCATCACAACAGCTAAATGAGATTACACACACACACACACACACACACACACACACACACACACACACACACACACACACTACTGCTTACTATTTTGCTATCACTCGGACTTGAGTATGAGGATCACCCAGCTGTGATATAATGATATGAGTCATTAAGAAAGTCACCTACGTTGGTGAGTCTTAAGGTGACTAAAGAGGCCGATACGGGACTGGCAGAGTCGTTCACAGATGTTGCACAGGTGGTGGGCTACATCTAGTGCGGGAGGGGCAGTGGTGGACAGGTGGGAGCCGAGATACCGGAAGT